CACCACCACCAACAACAACAACAACAACAACAACAACAATCATTTTACCCGAACGCGTGGTGTTCTCCCCAGTGCCAGGGTTTTCATACGACACCAGGCAATACCCCCACTTCGTGGGGGGGCATTACAAGCTCTACCAAATATCCAAACGACTCTTCGCGACCACCCAAACCCAGCTTCCCGCCCTATGACGTTGGGACACTTCACTTCGTGGCATGCGGACGACCGTGGCTACTATTCAGGGCCCCGCGGCCGACGACGACGGCGTGCGCGCGCGAAGAAAAAACGAATGTGTCCCGCATGGTATTATTTGACAGGGATGATGGCCCTGGCAGGTGCGCAACCGTTGTCGCAGAAGTTTGAAAAAGTTGCTCGCAAAAGCCCGTTTGACAAAATTGTTTAAAAAGTGTTGGTTTTCCTACGAATCCGCAAGAGCGCGCGGGATGAGATTTTGACATTTTTTTGTTGAAAAACCATTGGTTTTTTGATGTTTTTATGTTAAAATCGCTCCGAACACTAAGCTTTTGGAAGGATTTCGTCTTGCGCGCGCGAATGTCCACTTTACCTTATTTTTTGCAAGGGATTCTTGAAATTTGATTATATTAGAACAAGAAATGTCATTTTATAGTGTTTTTTGCAAGGGAAAACGGGGGGGAACAAAACAACCGGATCCGGTACTAATCCACTTTTCTGAAGCTTTCGCGAAAAAATGATGAAAATGTAGCTGCGGCCTAGGTTTTGGAGGGGGGTCGTGTACCAGGGGTCCCAACAATAATTATTCTTTAGAAGTAATAATGTTCAACAGCAATCAGGTTACCCTCATGCGCGATGTTTCCACACGAAGCATGCGACCATCATGATAACCATCCCCGGGATGTTTGTTTTATAGCGGGGTCCGTTATTCCCATTTCCAGATCTCCCGCCCAATGAGATCTTGCAAACACCTCCTCCGAGGAATTTCAACATATCCCACCTCGAAAACGCATGCCCGCGCTTTGCTGCGCCGATGCGAGACCGCCAGTGGAGCCCCAGCCAAGGGTAAAGCACAAGGAAGTATCGAGCGACAGGACTTCCTTGGTGGGGATGGGGGCCGTCGGCGGCGAGGCAAGGACCTTGGCCGCTGTTGTTGCTGGGAGCAGCGCCAATGCTGAAGAGAGTAAGGTGCTAGTCCAGCGTAACACAAAACGAAGTCTCGAGCGGAACGCTGGTTTTGTTGGGACGGCGGTTGTCGGTGGCGAGGAGGAACACTGCCTTGAGTAAGAAGGGAGGAAGTCTCGAGCGGAAGCCGTGGTTTTGTCGGGACGGCGGTCGGCGGCGAGCAACAGCACCGTCCTGAGGAAAAATGGAGGAAGCCTCGAGCGGAAGAGTTGCTCTTACTGGGAGCGGCGCCAATTTAAAAAAACAGTAGGGCGCCAGTCCAGCGTAAACGGGAGGAAGTCTCGGACGGGAGCGCTGGTGAAAGTCGGAACGGCGGTTTTCGGCGGCGACGAGGAGCACCGCCTTAAGTAAATTACCCCAGTGCGACCCTACCTAGAAGTTGGAGCCCCTAGGAAAGCAGCATTAGTTGCTATGCTATGCTATGCTATGCTATGCCATGCTATGCTGCGATATGCTATGCCATGCCATGCTATGCTATGCTGCGCTATGCTATGCTATGATATGATCTGCTAAACTATGATATGTCATGCTGCGCTGTGCTATGTTATGATATGGTATGCTATTAGATGATAAGCTGCGTTATGATATGCTAGAATATGATATGATATGTTATGCTATGATATGATGTGATATGATATGAAATACTATGATATGACATGCGATGCTGCGCTATGCTATGTTATGTTATGCTATGATTGGCTGTGTGATGCTATGCTATGCTATGTTATGCTAATGCAGCGCTGTGCTATGCTAAGCTAAGCTAGGCTAAGTTAAGCTAACCCTCTAGGCAGAGCCTGGGTAGGGAATTACACCCGTGCTAATGAAGCTAAGTTAAGCTAAGATGAAATAAGCTAAGCTAAGATGAGATAAGCAACGCTAAACTCAGGGGGCGAAACTGGGGGAACCGCGGGGCGGATCCTGGGGGAACCGCCCGGGGAGCTTTCCACTGCCCGGCCCTTTAAGCACAGAGGGTAAGAACCCTTCTAGGCAGAGCCTATATAGGGAAAAAGGAAGAAACCCTCGAGCGGGAGCGTTGTTGTTGCTTGGGGCGGCGCCGATGAGAAAAAGACTAGCGCGCCAGTCCAAGGTAAAAACAGGAGGAAATCTCGAGCGGTAGCGCTGGTTTTATTGGGACGGCGGCTTTCTGCGGAGAGCAAGAGCACCAGCTCTGAGCCAACAAAAGGAAGTCTCGAGCGGGAGCGTTGTTGTAGTTGGGGGGCCGGTGTTTGCGCCGCCCCAAAACGGATGAAGGGGGAGAAAGAAGGATGGAGCTCGAGAGAGAATAGCAGGAGGGGGGCTAGGAGCAGAAAACACGTGGCCGAACCAGACGGGCAGACCGGGCGGGCGGACCCTAGCGGGCGGGTCGGAAGGCGGGCCCAGGCGGCCAGGTCGAGCAGACGGGTTGCTGAAGCGTGCGTCCTACATGAATCGCGATGAAGTCTCGAGCGATAGCGCGATTCCCAAGTAAATCGTGAGAAACGCTGAATCGAGAGCAGGATGCCTGAGTGGCGAGGGCGCGGCGTCTGATTAAATTGTGAGGAGGTCCCACGCGAGACCGCGATTCCTGCATAAATTGTGAGACCACTCCTCCTCATCATCCTCCTCCCCCCCAAAACTTCTCCCACTCTATGTCTCGGGCACCATGACTGATGGCAGAAATAAACGGACACGCATCGTCTCCGGCGCCGCTGCGCTGGAACATGTACCACACCATCAAGGCGCTTGCTCCACAACGGGTGGCAGAGGAAGCGACCGAGCGCTCGCAATGAAGGCCGTCGCCTTCCTCTCCACCATCAACCCCCCGCTCAGATCCCCTCCTCCTCCACCCGCACCTCCGAGCTCGATCGCTTCTGAGCAGCGAACACCTGGTATGACGGCATGCAGCGTGAGTCGCTTCGGGACACATGCACCGCTCCGGGACGCTCACGACCTTGTATGTCGGCATGCAGCGTCGTGAGTCTGAGCTAGACACCATGCGCGCGCAGCCCCCCTCTGAAAACCTGCAGCGCGCGAAACTGCGCCAGCAGTGTGCCGAGAGAGAGGGGCTGACGCCCTAGGAACTCATCGGCTGAGACGGCCGGCGTGTCCTCCTCTCCAGCCCTGCCCCTCCTCTTTCGCTCCTTCGACTCCTCCCCCTCCCGTGGGGGGCTCTACAGTCACAGGGCGCCGGCCGCGCCCGCCCCGCCCCGAGGCGGAGCCGCCGACGCCGGCAGGGCGAAGAGCTCCAGGCCGCCTCCTCGGGCGTGGCCAGCCGGCGCCAGCGCGCCGTCGTCGTCCAGCAGGCGGCCCAGGACCTGCGCCGACGGCGCGCTGCCTCGCCGCCGCGTGTAGCGCACGGCGCCGAAGACGGCCACGGCCATCAGGCCCACGACGAGGAGACCTCCGAAGCTGAGCACCGCCTGGTCCTCCAGGAGGCCCCTGCGGCGCAGGCCCGCTCGCTCGGCGGCGGGAAGCAGGAGCACGTCCTCGATCTCCACGGCGCTCCTGTTCGCCTCCAGGGCGCCGCGGGCGAGCTCCGCCACCGCGGCCGCCGAGGACTGGCCGCCGCCGCTGGAGCCCGCCGCGGGCGCGGGCGCCACGGCCAGCGCGTGGACCGCGAAGGCCGCGGCGGCGGGCGCCCGCATGGCCGCGGAGGAGGGCTGCGAGGGCGGCGAGGGGGAGGGAAGCGGGGAAGGACCGCAGCGGGGCTGATGCCTCGAGCCTTTGCTTGATCGCCTCCGAAGGCCCCTATCGAAGGCCCCAGTGGCACCGTGCGCATGCGTCAGAGCCGCAGAGTTGCGTACACCCCTCACACGTGTTGTGGCCCTATAGGGCCAGGGAGCTCCACTGAAGATCAAGAAGCCGCACCGTTCGCACGCGCCCGCGCCGCACATTTCGGCACACCCCTCACACGCTTCCGCACATTTCTGCACACCCATCGCACGTGTTGTGGCCCTACAGGGAGCTCCACTGAAGATCAAGAAGCCGCACCGTTCGCACGCGCCAGCGCCGCACACTTCGGCACACCCCTCACACGCTTCCGCACATTTCCGCACACCCATCGCACGTGTTGCGGCCCTACAGGGAGCTCCACCAAAAACCAAGGAGCCGCACCGTTCGCACGCGCCCGCGCCGCACATGCACACCTCTCACACGGTTCATGGCCCCACAAGGAGCTCCACCGAATGCCCCACTGGCACCGTTCGCACGCGTCTCCCCCACCCATTACGGCGCACCCCTACACGGCTCGTGGCCCCATAGGGAGCTCCGCCAAAGGCCCCAATGGCACCGTTCGCATGCGCCCCCCCCACCCCTACACATCACGGCGAAGTCCCCACACGGCTCGCACTCACAACTGCTCATGGTTGGACTCTTCGCCGAGATATTGTTTGACGGCCCCGTGGCCTGCGAAGGGACCCCCTTTCCCTCAGGACCCCGTTGCTTCATGGCGACCCCTGACCACAATTTCGAAGGCAATACAGCCGTGGCGACGAGAACACTCAGGGAGGCCAAGAAATATCGAAACATCTGCTCTTAAACACAAGCGCGAACCTCGAAGCTCGAACATGTGACCGTCTTTTTTCTTTCCCTGGTAGCGGTCGTTACCCGTGGGGGGGGTTCGGGCGGGAGGGTAATGGTAACGGCGGCCGCGGCGTGCACCCGCCAGGGTGCGTCCGCGCCACGGGCGCATCAATCGCCTGTGTGCACCACACCATGCAGGGTGCCAGGCCAGCCCCCCCCAGTACGATCGTTAGCGTCACCCGGGGAGGGGTGTGGAGGGAGTTTCGCAAGGGTAACGCGCGTCACCATGGAGAGGAAAACACAAAAAACGTTCACCCTCGATTCCCCCCCAGCCCACTCGCCTTCATCCGCCGCGAGCCCCACGTTGCCGGACTCGCCGTTGCTGGCGGCGCGGATCCGGGCCAGCAACTCCTAGCGCTGGGGGGCGGTCGGCCTCGCCTCTGAGCGACGGTCGTCGTCAGCGTCGGCCTCGTCGTCGGCGTCGGCCATCGGCACCGCCGCGCCGTCGTCGCGGTCCTCGTCGCCGTTGGGGGTGGGGGAAGAGGGAGGGGAGTGGGAGGGAAAGGAGGAGAAGGAGGGGAGGGAGAGCGTAAAGGCAAGCTAGGTGCGCTCGCGTCATATCTGACGTTCTACCCCTCCCTCCCATCCCTTACCATAGCGTAGATCTCCTCTCTATTCACACTGTCGGATGTCGTAGCAGGGCATAGCATTGGAGGGAGGGGGAAAGGGTAGGAGGAGGAGGAGGAGGTATTGAGGGGGAGAGGGGCGAGCTGATGCCCCACCAGCACTTCAATGCCCCGCCACAGAGAATGCGATGAGAGTGGGATGATGAAGCCGTGTGTGAATATATATATATATATATATATATATATAAAAACATGTATATATATGTGTACGCATACTAGAACCATCATCGCGAGCTTCGCGCGCGCTCAGGATCTAGCAGGCCCCAGGCCTTGACAAATCCACTGCTCCACTGAAGTAGTGGACCACAGTCCACGCATGCCAATCTGCATTCCGAAAGGCCTTCGAGAAAAATAGTTGTGTAGGGGGGCAGAGGCCGTATGAATCGGGTTCCCAGAAGACCTTCTGCCTTCTGGGAGCATGGGTTTGGGGCGTCTTGGGGAGCCTGTTGGGGCGTGCAGTCGTTGTCGTCGTCGTCGTCGTAATGTCGGCGTCGCCTATTGGGGCGCGCCGTCGTCGCCGTCGCCGTCGCCGTCGCCGTCGCCGTCGCCGTCGCCGTCGCCGTCGTCATCGTCGTCGTCGTCGTCGTCGTCGTCGTCGTCTTCGTCGTTTCGTCGTTGTCGTCGTCGATTCAAGAGGGCACTTGGGCCACTTGGGGCAACTTTGTGCGAAACGATCTGCGGAGGGCCGCGTCAAGGCGATCAGTCATGTTCCCAATCAACTTCCCAGACAGCTCTCCTGTAGCATGATGGTACTTCGAAGCCTCCGGAGACTCGCGGGCCCATGATGAACCATGTCCCCGGAAGGCTTTCTGGGGACATGGTTTGTTGGGGTGTGTTGGGGGGCCTCTTGGTCGTTCCCTGGGAGCCCCTTGGGGGTCTCTTGGGGCTTCCTGGGAGCCTCTTGGGCGCCTCACGGGGCTTTGTGGGAGCCTCTTGGTGGCCTCCAGGGGCCTACAGGCGGCCTCTAGCGCCAGAGACCTCGAAATATCGGTTGGCGGTCCCCTCTGGGCCTCTCTCTCTTGGGGAGCTTTTGGGGCACAGTTGGGTTGTCTGGGGAGCCTCCTGGGCCGTCTTGGGGCCCTCTTCGGGGCCTCCTGGCCCGTCTTGGAGCGATCTGAAGGGCCTCCGAGCGAGGCCGTGAGGGAGCGCTGGGAAGCGGGGAAAGCGAGAACGCCTAAATCCTTCAAAAACCATCGGAAAATTAGTGAATCTTGCCTCCCAAGGCCCTCTTGGAGAGTCTCTTGAGTCCGTCCTGGAGCGTGTTCGAGTCCTCGTCGGCCGTCTTGAGGGCAGCTTGGGCGTCTTCGGGGCCTCTTGGGACCGTCTGGGGCCCTCTCGGGACCTCCATTAGCCTGTCCAGCCTGCTTCGGGGCGGGCCCGGGCCGCCTCGGGACCCCTCTGCGCCTTCTCTTGGCGCGCTCTTCGGGCACACTTGGGTTGTCTGGGGAGCATCCTGGGCCGTCTTGGGGCCCTCATCGGGGCCTCGTGGGCCTTCTTGGAGCGATCTGAAAGGCCTCCGAGGCCGTGAGGGAGCGCTGGAAAGCGGGAAAAGCGAGAACGCCAAAATCCAAAACTCTCGGAAAACGAATGAATCTTGCCTTCCAGGGCCCTCTTGGGGAGCCTCTTGAGTCCGTCCTGGAGCGTGTTGGAGTCCTCGTCGGCTGTCTTGAGCGCATCTTAGGCGTCTTCGGGGCCTCGTGGGACCGTCTTGGGTCCTCTGCGGACCCCTTAGCCTGTCGTGGCCTGCTTCGGGGCGGGCTCGGGCCGCCTCGGGAGCTCTGGACCGGACCCCCCCCCCTACAACCCCTGGTGGGCACCGATGGGGGGAACAGGCAGCGGCCCGCCCCCCCCCTGGGCCTCCGAGATAGAGAATCATGTTCCCGGCAAGCTTTCCGGAAGCATGATTTGTTCGGCTCTCTAAAAGGGGGGTGCCTATGGGGGCTTACCGAGGGGCGCCTTCTGGCCTTGTCGGCAAGCCTATTGGAAACATCGTTGGAGCGGTGGGCGGAAGCCCGAGGAATCATGTTCCCCGAAAGCTATCTGGGAAATACGATTTACCGAAGTGTACTGGGGGCCCGCAAGGGGCTTCCCTGGGGGGTCCTTGGGGGTCTATTGGGGCTTCCGAGGAGACTCTTGAGAGCCTCACGGGGCTTCTTGGGAGCCTCTTGATGGCCTCCGCGGGCGTCCTAGGAGCCTCTCAGGCCGGAGACCTCGAAATGTCGCGCTCTTCGGGCCCTCTTGGGTCGCTCTTGGGGCTCTCTTGGGGCGCTCTCGAGGCCCTCTTGACTTATCTGCGGAGCCTCATGGTCCCTCTCTGGGCTTTCTTGGGGGCCTCTTCGGCCGTCTTGGAGCGATCTGAAGGGCATCTGACGCGGTCCGGGACCGTGGGGAGGCGGAACATGGGAGAGCGCAAGAATGCTTCAAAAACCAATGGAAAATTTATGATTTTCGGCTTCTGGGACCCTTTGGAGGGAGCGTTTCGGTGACGTCGTCGGCCGTCCTGAGGCCATCTTCAGCGTGCCCGGGGCCTCTGGGGGCTGTCTTTGGACGTCCTGGGAATCCGGAAATCATGTTCCCGGTGAGGCTTCCGGGAACATGATGTCGAACCAGGCTCTCTTGGGCCTCCCTGAGGCCGTCTTGGGGGCCACCTGGGCCGGCTTTGGGGCTTCTTGGGCCGTATTGGGGGGTTCCGTCAACCCCGCAGGACGACCCTTTTGGGCCGTCTGGGGCTCTCTTGGGTCTCTCTTGGGCTGTGTTGGGGCTCTGAGGCACTGTGAAGACGAAGCAAGCGAGCATGCTGAAAATGTACGTTTTACGCTGGGAATGGGCAGATGTTTGCCTCTTGAAGGCCCTCTTGGGGCCCTCTTCGGCCATCTTGAAGCGATCTCGGGCCCTCTTCGGCCTTACTGAGGCTGTCTTGTGGGCCTCTTAGGCGTCCTGGGAACCCGGAAATCATGTTCCCGGAGAGGCTTCCGTCGAACGAGGCCGTCTTGGGCCTCCCTGAGGCCGTTCTGGGGGCCACCTGGGCCAACTTCGGGGCTTCTTGGGCCGTCTCGGGGTGTTCCGTGAGCCCCACGGGACGGATCTTTTTGGGCCGTCTTGGGCCCTCTTGGGTCTCTCTTGAGCTGTCTTGGGGCTCCTAGGGGGCGTCTGGGGCACTCTGAAGACGAAGCAAGCGAGTATGCTGAAAATGTACGCTTCACGATGAGAATGGGCAGACGTTTGCCTCTGGAAGGCCATCTTGGGGCCCTTTTCGGCCATCTTCAAGCCATCTCGGGCCCTCTGGGGCCTCGCTGAGGCTGTCTTAAGGGCCTCTTGGGCGTCCTGGGAGCCCGGAAGTCATGTTCCCGGAGAGGCTTCGGGATACATGATGTCGAACGAGGCCCTCTTGGGCCTCCCTGAGGCCGTTTTGGGGGCCTCCTGGGCCAACTTCGGGGCCTCTTGGGCCGTCTCGGGGGGTTCCGTGAGCCCCACGGGACGGATCTTTTTGGGCCGTCTTGGGCCCTCTTGGGTCTCTCTTGAGCTGCCTTGGGGCTCCTCGGGGGCGTCTGGGGCACTCTGAAGACGAAGCAAGCGAGTATGCTGAAAATGTATGTTTTACTATTAGAATAAGCCGATGTTCGCCTCTTGAAGGCCCTCTCGGGGCCCTCTTCGGCCATCTTGAAGCCATCTCGGGCCATCTTGGCCATCGCTGAGGCTGTCTTGTGGGTCTCTTGGGCGTCCTCGGAACCCAGAAATCATGTTCCCAGAGAGGCTTCCGGGAACATGATGTCGAACGATGCCCTCTTGGGCCTCCCTGAGACCGTCTTGGGGGCCACCTGGGCCGGCTTTGGGGCCTCTTGGGCCGTCTTGGGGGGTTCCGTGAGCCCCACGGGACGACCCTTTTGGGCCGTCTTGGGCCCTCTTGGGTCTCTCTTGAGCTGCCTTGGGGCTCCTCGGGGGCGTCTGGGGCACTGTGAAGACGAAGCAAGCGAGCATGCTGAAAATGTACGTTTTACGCTGGGAATGGGCAGATGTTTGCCTCTTGAAGGCCCTCTTGGAGCCCTCGTCAGCCATCTTCAAGCCATCTCGGGCCCTCTTGGGGCGCTCTTGGGCGTCTTCGGGGCCTCTTGAGGCTCTCTTGACCATCTATACGGCCCGCGTGGCCTGTCGTGGGCAATTTGGAAGCGGCCCAGGACAATCCCGGGGGGTCTGTGACCCCCCAAGGGTTCGGGGGGGCGCCCATGGGGGGTGATGGCACTGGTTCTGGCCCCCCCCGGCCTACTCCGATATATATATATATATATATATATATATATATATATATATATATATATATATATATTATACATACATACATACATACATACATACATACATACATGCATACATACATGCATGCATACATGCAGACATACATATATACATACATACTTACATGCATGCATGCATGCAGGCATGCATACATACATACATACATACATACATATATAACAAAAAATGTAACGGTATATTAATGCATATGTATATACATTGTTCTAGATACACGCATATATATGTGTACATATATGTACGCAAACACACATACATACATATATTATGATGCGATAAAACATGAATGTGAGATACCTCCGAAAACAACATACAATAACATGTGCTGTTAGAACCGCCGATCTGGCGTGTGAACTACAAGGCGCCTCAGCAAGAGGTTCAGCTCTGAGCCTAAGCAACAGCATCAGCTCTGCT